GAATTTATTTACTTTTTTCGTAGATGGGTCAAATGTGCGAAATTACTATCCTAATTAGGAACTGCGGAAGTGTCAATAAATTACACATTCTTCACATGACGATCATGACATTTATAAACCCTTTGGTAGAGATTTGGGATAGATCCTTTCAAGGATTTTGGTCTTGACTACAACCCTGGCTTGGGATCTAAGGTTACTTTTTCTTGTTGTTTTTGTATCAATGCCATTTGAAGTGACTGTTATTCACCAATATATATATCGAAGATCAGTCTGAGTGTAGCTAGATATATGATGTCTAACGTGTATGACTCAAGTAAAGTAGATGATTCAAGATGTCTCAATTTGAAAAAGTTTTCCAGTTTGTAGCAACAAGATGATTCTTGTTAGTGTTCGACCTATTTTGGGTTAGTGCGGCTTATCGTCACAAACACATGTGTAGATTTCACGTCATTGACTTACACTTGGATATTTCTATTATTTTCTCCGTGGTAATTGTCCAGGTTGCCTTCGTCTAAGTTAATTGATCATCCATAGTAGTTTTCCCGAAATATGTTACTTTTACTTAATGATACTTATAACTAAGTGATTTGAGAATATTTTACTACAAAAATTACTGATCAGAAGTACATTCAATCTTACTTTGATATACTTACAATTCCGGGTTTCTAAAATACATATATAGAACTCATTATATAATTAGAAGCTCTTTAATATCCACCATTGCACTACGCGGACACACTCCTATACCATCGACCATTGTCATACAAGAAGACCCCAAAACTACAATGGAGATAGCAAAAGTCCCATCAAAAGTATATTATTCACATAATTATACTAATATCTATATAAGTCAAACTATTAATGATCATGCATTCCTTTAGAATCACGTAGTATCTTTTCCCAATTACACCAATATGCAACAACACCACAACCAATTGCCAAAAATCCAACTCCCGAGATTAATCCCAACCATAAGCCATTCAAATGTAATCCCATTGGAAATGCAAATATATACCCTAATGGCAATGCTATTAAATAATATGAAATCATATTTAATACTGACCCAATCTGTTGCCTTCCTTGACCTCTTAATACCCCAGTAGCTATAACATTAAATGCATCTCCAATTTGATTTATTGCAGCCAATGTAAGAAGAGTTTTGGAAATTTCTAATACTTTAGGATCTTGAGTAAATAATTTACTTAATCCAGTTCTACCAAAGAACATAACTGAGAAATTGAAAATTCCAAGAATACCACCGAGTAAACAAAACAAATTAGTATTAATCTTTGCCCCTCTTATACTTTCATTTCCAACAAAATGTCCAATTCTAGTACTTAACACAACAGCAACTGCAAATGGCATTTGGAAGAATAGAGATGCAACATTAGATACAATCGATTGTGCTGCCAAAGATTCAGTTCCAAAACTTGCAGCTAATATAGTCAACACTTCAAATGCCAAGAATTCCGCAATCACCATGATGACACCTGGAATGGCTAACGAAAGCATTGGTTTCCAATTTCTAGTTGCACTGGCAATATCCAATCCTCCCCAACATTGTTTTCCATTGATGAATACAACATAGCCTAACATGAA